CGAGTCCGGAGTCCGGGGGGAGCGACGCGAAACGCGAAACCCAATCGCAGACTCTCTTTGAATCGGGATGGAGCTTCCTCTGAGAAGGCGAGGCGGGGATCCGGACCATCCAGACCATCCAGACCGCAAAGGCGGCGCTCGGTGTGTCTCATTTGTATGGATCGAATGGGGAACGGGCCTGGCTGGGCCGCCTGGCCGCCCCGCCCCGCCGCCGTGCTGCCTTTTGCGGCTCGCCGTGCTTGTCCTGCTCGCCGGCCGAGTGCAGGACGCAGTGCCTTGCTCGCCGGCCGGGCCGTCAGGCGCAGAGTAGGCAACCCGACCACACCGGAGCGCGCGTGTTGCCTACTCTGCGTTTGTCAGGGGCTCGAGGCCGAGCTTGAACTTCAACTTGAAAGGCCACGACGCACTCCGCGTGCACTTTAGATGTTTAACTTTTTTCGGGAGTTATTGAAATTTTCTAGTGAACGCTGCGGAGTTGACTGTGGAGTCGGTGCCGTGCCTCCACAACATGCACCGTGTTTTCGGCTGTTGCCAACAAGCTCCGCGCGCTCGTGTCCGGCGCTGCCCGGGCCTGCACTGCGGGCAGGGCAGGGCATGCGGTCCTGAGGGGGAAGGGGAGCGTGGGAACATGTGGGAGTACTTTTGGAGGCACCGGCGCCCTGGGCCCCGCACACACGGGCTGTAATCACTGGCTTTCAATTCGCGTACCCGTTGGCCACCGCAGCGAGGCGCCTCGGGCGGGGGCTCTGCTCCTACACGGGGAAACACCTCGCTCGCGTGGCGCGTTACAGCAGCCGTAGTTACGCACGAGTGCGGCGGTGGAATTTTTCATGCTCGGTGTGTGAATTATGCTGGCTGCGATAGCGGTCCCTCTGTATGTAATTGTGGGGGCGATTGTTGCGGCCGGGCGCGGCGCGGCGCGGCAGGGCACGGCGAGGCACTACTCGGCCGCGGCGAGCTATTTGCATGACTCTCGTACAATGTGCTCCATTTCGGTCGCGTCCGGTATCGTCCGTTCCCAGCAGGCACCGAGCGGTGCTTTCGTCGCTCTGCGTCTCTCTCTCGCACTCGCGCGGCGTGCTGTGGCGGTGCGAGGGAGAGGCAGAGATCTGACCGTTCGGACGGAGCGCGCCCGGCTGCAGCGGAGCGGGCGGAGGCGTCGCGGCGAGGCGAGGTGAGGCGAGGCGACGCCATTGTCAAGTTGGCACGACCTGGCTCCGCCGATCGCGGCGCAATCAGCATAATGTGCCGGCCTGTTTATCGCCCAGAAGTGTTTTTTCGTCGTCTTCGCTGTTTGCCGGAGAACGTCGTCGCTTTCACGGCTTTCACGGCGAGGCCGACGACGGCGCGTGTTTGATCATCGATGTCCGTCACTCGGAGCGGAAGCGCCGACGCCGCGCCGGGGCTTAAAGTTGCCAGCCGCCGCGATGCCGACCCGGAGCGGAGCGGAGCAGTAGCGCTCGCGTTATTGTAGTATTGCTGTTTCGGGAAAGTTTCTCCGACTGTGTGAGTGCGCTGTCTGGCCTGGCCCGGCCCGGCCCGACCCGGCCGGCCTGCGCGATGACTGTTTGTCGAGCAGCGTGACGAGGCACACCTGCTTGCCGTACGTACGTACTTAGCCCGTCGTGCCGCCACGCCACGCCACGCCCCCGAGGCGCTGCCGACCGTCTCATTGGGAGGCTGGATAACAGCGAAATCGGTAGCCGCTCCCGAATCCCGAACGGTGCTCCGTTGTTAGACTGTCTCTCTCGCACCCACGTGAGTGCGACGATGCTCTGTTCCGATCATCCGCTTCCAGCGTGCTCCCAGTCCAGCCGGCCGTCGGCAGCAAGTCCACCTTTCCCCGGCAGTGGGGTGGCTGGCGTTGTCTGGACCAATCCATTTGGCTAAAAGCGGCGCTGCTGGCGTTGCAGCAGTCAGCCGCAGCGCCATGCGGTGCCTTTCCCGTCGCTCCGTCTCTCTCGCACCTACACGGGACACCTCATGAGTGCGAGAGACACAGCGGCTCGCGGAATCAGTCTGCTGCACTACGAAATCCCCATGGCGCCCCGCGCGGTCGGACGGGCGCCCGGCCTCGGCTAGAGTAGGAAAATCCCCTTTATCGTTTTGACTAAATAAAGTGCGAAACTTTGGCAACAAATCATGCGCGGGCCATTCACGTTATAGGCCGGTGCCTTGTAGCGAGCCGGCCTACTGTCGGGCCTGGCAGCCTGGCAGGCGGATGTGTCTCGGTGCGGAGGGCTCTGGCGGCCCTGGCGGCCCTGGCAGTGTGGCAGTGCCAACCAAGGCAGCCAATGGCAGCCGACGGCCGGCAGCGTTTCGGGGGCCCAGCGGCCCAGTGGCCCAGCGGGTGCCTGTCTCTCTCGCACCCAGTCGGGGCGCCCGGTGAGAGCGAGGGAGACGGAGAATCATTCCGCAGAGCCCAGCCCCGCAGATGCTGGCGTTGCTCGCTGGCGCCGTCCTTCCATTATTTATGGTGGCGGGGATATCTCGCCGTGTCGCCCGGGGAGGACGGCAACAGGCAATGCAGGCCGTGCTGCCGGTGCCGTTGCCGCCGGGGTCGTCCCGCGCCCCAGCACGCACCGCCACGCACTGCCACGCACTCCCACGCACCGGCGGCGTTTTAGCGCCGCGCGGCGCCGCTAAGGCGGCAAGGCAGCAGCCTGCCCCGGCAGCGCGGCAGCACGGCGTCGTTGGCCATTGGCACGATGTCGGCGCGTTAAATGAAGTCGTGGCGGCGGTGCGTGCGAACGCGCTCCCGGCCTGCTCAGTGCCTCGCCTGCAGCAGACTGAGTCGCTTTCGTCGCTCTGTCTCTCTCGCACGTGTGCGGATCGCACCGTGAGTGCGAGAGAGACAGAGACGCCCGGAATCAGTCTGCAGGCCCGGGCGTCCCGGAACGGCCCTGCACACATTCGGACCCTTTTTCACGCGCGATTGCGCGCCGTTTTCAGCGGGCCGGTTCCGAACAAAAGGGCGCTCTGTCTCGCTCGCTCTCGCGGGGCGTGCCCTACGAGCCCTGCGGGTGCGAGTGAGACAGAGCGAAGGGATGTTCGGAATCAGCCTGCTACAGCGAGACGAGACGGACGGACGCCGTTCACAGCTGGATGCGCCTGGCGCAAAGAAACGCTTTCGGCTCCGTGTGTGTGTTAGTGTGTGTGTGTGTGTGTGTGTGTGTGGTCCACAGTGGCTGTCGCTGCAGTGGCACCATCCCGCTGGCTGCGCTGCGGTGAGCCTCATACAGATTCATCGCGCACTTCATATGTATCAGTGTGGCGTTCGCTCCCCTCCCCTCCCCCCCCCCATGACATAAAGGTGGTGAATCCCATCGCGGGAAGGAAGAAAGTGGTGTAGCGGCGACCCCCCCTCCACCGCCACGTGCCAGGATGGCCAGGACGCCGACGACGCTCGCTCTCATTAGCAGTGGCGCCGCGCGTTGCGTCACGCCGTCGCCCGGAACACGGGCTGACGGGAAGGGGTCAGGCGGGTCGCGGCGGCGGAGGCGGCAAAAGGCGACGCGCGATTAGCTCCGATGTTGGTCTTCCCTGTTGCTTTAGCGCTCTAGCGCTTTCGTCGCTCTGTCTCTCTCGCGCTCGCGGAGCGCCTCGCATGGCGTCGGGGCGTGCGAGAGAGACGGAGCGGCGGGCCGCGGGTCACGTCGGCGAGGTCGGCAAAGGCTGCCTGTAATGAACGCAGTATCGTAACTGAGGCTTATGCATTCCCTGTTGGCAGCACGGCCGTGGGCGCGGCACTGTAGCGCCTATCGTCAAATCGAATTGGTGCGACGTTCGGCGCCGCTGGCGAACGTTCAAGGCCCATCGCGGAGCTGCGGGCTGATGCCGCACTTGCAGCCGTCTCTCTCGCACTCACGGCGCGCGCTGCGTGCCACTGCGTGGGCCGCAGGGAGTGCGAGAGAGACAGAGCGACGCGGTTTTCGCGCCAAAGGCGGAATAAAACAGGGCGGCTGCAAGGCGGGGCCCTTTGTGTGATGAAAACGTGGGGAAAATTTGGCGCGCGAAAGAAGGAGAAAGAGGGGGGGGGGGAAAGTGAGGGGGTTCGAAGCGCTGTCTGTCTTGAACGCAACCCAATTCCTGCTGCAGTGGAGTGGGGGAGTTTAGTGCTCCGCGGGGCGAGGGCGGGGAGATGGAATTTGGGGCCGGGGCGCCTTGGCCTCGGTCGGGCTGGAAGTGGGGCCTTGGCAGCCCTCGGCTATACGACAACTGCATACATTTCGGTATCCATAACACTGGCAGCTTGACGTGCTCGGCGAGGCCGCAGGCTGCAGGCGGCTGGGGGGAGTGCCGTGGCGGCCCGGCTAGTCGCAGGTGCGCTTGCCGCCCGCGAGAAGGCGAACAAGTGCGCGGCCGAGTGGAAGGGCCCAGAGCCCAGGGCCGCTCGGGGCCCAGGTGAGCCGAGGAGAGCAGAGGGCCCTCGCCGGCCCTCTTGCCGAGGGTCGTTAGCAGTGGACAAAGGGAGCGAGCGCGAGCTGGACGTGGACGTCTAGAGGCTGAGGCTGCTGAGGCCGGGGGCGTCCCGGACCGGTGGAGAGTGAAATGATGAGGAGACAATGCGTTGCTTTACCGTGTGCCGCCACTCCCCCTCCCCCTCCCTCTCACTCCGTCCGCGTGATGCCGGTACTCTCCGCGATGAGCAGACTAGCAGACACACCGGTTCAATGTCCTCCCTGACGGCGGCCGACGAAGGCACGGCCGCTACAGTGTGCGAAACGCAAATGCTGCGGCGCGTCCCTGTCGTTCTGGACCTGCTTCCCGGCGCCCCCTGCTCCTGTATTCCCGGCATGCGGAGGGTACGTCAGCGACGTGTCTGTGGTGGTGGGTGGCGCGGCCCTGCGCGGCCCACTGCTTCGGGCCTTCGGGGGGCAAAATATGGCGCTATTTCTCAAGTGCATGACTCGATGTAAGCCGTAATGGCCCAGACTCCAGCCGTTCCGCAGGCAAGCCGTCTGGCAGATTAGTCATTGGCCGTTTCCATTTTGTTGCAGGAATCCGAGCCATGAAGCGGTCTTCGTGTCGCTAGGCGCGCTAGGCGGTCCTTCACCTGCGCGGGTAAGAATAAAGTCCGTCCTGGCGCGGCGGTGCGGTCCGCGGGGACAGGCCGGCGGGCACACTGGCGGCGACGCGCCGCGCATTGCAACAATTTGGTTTCAAGTTTTGACAACAGCTGGCGAGGGGCTGGTGCGGTGAATGGGAAAGTAGTGGATGCCGGCTCCGCCCCGCGCCACCCCGCCCCGCCCCGCTGTCTGGCGGTTTGCCTCTGTTTGCATGACTTGCAGGGGAAGGACCCCCAAGGACCCCCGGCTGGAGGGTTCTGAAGGGTCCTGCCTGCCGGTTGAAGGATGTCCCCGAATGCTCGCCATGCTGTCAATGCTGGCCGCGTCACTTTCTACCCCGCCTGGCTCCGAGTCGCAACGTCGGCGTCCTCGGCACCTCGCCGTCGACGGCCCTGGCGGCGTGGCGGTGCCGGCCGGCAGGTGCGCACGCCTCGGCACGCCCTGCAGTCCATCATCATCCCCGTCCTTTGTTATTGGCACGAACCCCATTAGTCCGCGAACGAAACGATCCCGCTTCTTTCTCTATTTACTTGCATTTCATCCCGTGAATGGGCTTTGGGGAGTCATTAATGGCGATCCGATGCTCCAAGGCGCCAGGGCGCAGGGCGGCGCCGGCCGTGGCTTTGAGCGCCGGAATGAGATTTTATCTTGCGGCTCCCGAAAAAAAAGCCTCAAAAACGCCCGGAAAAAGAGGGTTAAGAGTTTATCTGACGCTCCAGCAGATAATTCATGGAGACCGTTGAACCCGGCGGCGACCCCGTCGCACCCCGGCCTGGTTTCGCGGTGCTGCCCCGCCCCGCCCCGCCCCGCCCCGCCCCTCCAACGGCAGCCGCGCCAGCCGATGGCCGTATTGTTCCTGCCGTGAAGAGACAGGTGGAAATTTGCGTAATGGATTCCGAAGCTTTTTCCGGGTTGTCTCGTTTCCGCGTTGGTTCCGATGCTCCTTTGTCTGTCTGGTGGCCCGGGAAAGGGGGCGGGGGCTATTTTTACACCGGTAGCTGGAAGGTGCGATCCAGCGAGCTCGGTACGCGGCCAGGCGGCAGAGGCCGGCCCTCCGTTTTGTGGCGCCCGAACGGTGGGATGAACCTGTGAAGTAAGCATTGGTGACCAGCCGAAAAACAAAAACAAACAATAGCTGCGTACGATAAACACAACAACAACAACGACATGAGTGCAATAGGGCTTAGTGCGTGCTCTAAGGTCTCACAAAGCTGCTTGGCGGTGTGTGGCCGGGCGGCCGGGCGCGGCAGTCGCGGTGGCAGTCCATCGACCCGCGAAGCCGGGCGAAGCGGACCGAAGCAGGGACACAGAGCAATCAGCGTTTTAATTTGAATGAATTGGTTTCGACTTGGCCAACTCGCGCGGCCGCCAGCTCGTTATGGCAAATACAGAATCCCGGGGAAAAGCGGCCCACTCTGCATATTTGATAAGAGCGGCTTACAAAACCCCATTTCGGCACTAATGAAGTTCCACCACTAGACAATACCACAGTTCACGACAACGCATGTGTGCGTGTGCGTCGTGTGTGTGTGTGTGTGTGTGTGTGTGTGGCGCCACTCGTCATTGTCCCGGGGCCGTGTCGGATTAGAAATAAAGCCATTTCTACGCCAACGGGCGGACCGCGCTCGTCCTTGGCCAAACTTGTGTCTTTCCCCGCCATCCCACTGTGTGTGTGTGAAAGAGGGAGGCAGACAGACCGAGAGCGCAAAAACTTTTATTTCGTTTGCCACTTGTTTGTTGCGCAGTGGCGGCAGTGGCGGCTGGAACGGCTGGAAAGCGTAGCGGCGGCCGTCTCTATCGGCAGCCTCGGTGTATAAATGTCGCCCATCGGATATGGAAAACGAGCGAGGCTCGCTCCGTGCGCCTCGCTGGTGTCCGCTGGTGTCCGGGACCGGCCGCCCCTACCTGGACCTGGCGGCGGAATATTTCCCCCCGAAGGTCGTCCAGGCCCCCTTGTTGGTAGCGACCCGTGCCGCGCGGGCCGCGCGCGGCTTTCACGCCAGAGTGGCTCCAGCAGCGCTCCGGCAGCCTGCCTCCCATCCAGTCGATATTGATGGAGTGATATACCGCCCTGGGGCCCCCGCAGCCCCCGCAGCCCCGCGCCCCAGCAGCCCAGCAGCCCCAGCAGCCCCAGCAGCCCAGCAGCCCAGCAGCCCCAGCAGCCCCAGCAGCCCCCGCAGCCCCAGCAGCCCCCGCAGCCCCAGCAGCCCCGCAGCCCCAGGCAGGCTCCAGGATGCGGGCCTGGACCAGGGCCTCACGCCCCAATGGCCACGCCAGGCGGTCTGGGCCGCCGGGGCCGCCGCGAGGCGGAAGCACGGCGTCGTACCGATACCTGGCGCCCCTTAACGATGTGCTTCGGGGACGTCGGGCCCGGCCCGGATCGCCCGCACCGGCCGGATCGGCACGGCCCGCTGCCCCGAAGTAATATGATGCGCATCAGACGCGCGGCGCGCAGCCAGACGCATTATCTCGTGCGTTATGAGGCGCTGCTCGGCCTGGCCGTGCCATGGGCCGTGCCATGGCCGCGCTGCCGTTGTTCTCTCGAAATTGGAATTGGCAACGTGTTTCCTCCTCTCCGCGGCCGGCCGCCCCGCCTTATTTATTTTCGCGAGCGTCTGCGGCGCGGCGAGGGGGCCTCGGAGGGGCCGGAGGGGCCGCGGGGGCCGCGGGGCGAAGGCCGGCGTTGACAGAATGCCGGGGGCGCGGGGTAAATTGAGCCAAGGCGACCCCCGCCACGCCGCAGCCCGCCCCGCCACGCTCGAGCCCCCCATCGGACCACAATCCCCTGACATGTCGCTCGATGTGAACTGTACCGTGCCCCTCCGCCTAGCGCCCCCCAGCCTAGCGCCCCGCTGGCCCAATGGGGCGGCTCAACTCTGTTATTCCGAATATCGGGAAGCCCCCTCTCCCCCCTCCACCACCACCACTTGCCGTCCTGATCGGGAGAAAAACGGAGCCGCCACGGATTCGGCGATGAAATTATAAATCGCGGCTGTCGCTGCCGCTCGCTGCCCACGCGCGGATACACACAGCGCGGATGTGGGTCATCGGGTTGATCACGTTTCGTTTTCCCGCGGCCTGTCGATATACACCTACACCGGGCGGGGCGGGGCCCGCCTGCCCTGCCTGTCTCCTTTCCCTCATTTCGGTGCGCGGCGACGCGTCCCTTTCTCGTTCGCTGCTCCCTCATTTTAATACGTGTGTCTGTCATTGTTGGCGTTTGTGTCGTCCGTGTTTGTGGGGGGTGTTCTTTGTCGCGCTGCGTGTGTGTGTGTGTGTGTGTGTGTGTGTGCACACACACCCCGCGCAGACCAATGGCAGTGCGGTGCCGCTTCTCCTCAAGTTATTGTATCGGAAGGCTGTGCCGCCCCGCCCCGCCCCGCCCCGCCCCTGTGCTTTGAGGCGCCGTTTTGCTCGGCGTGTTTGCCAGCCGAGGCGCATGGCGCTCCAGTCGCAGTGCCCGACGCACTCGGCCTGCTTAATGAGGGCGGACGCGTTCTCAAAGGGACGACGCTCGCGCAGGTGGCGGTGCAGGTCGTTACGGCCGTGTGGCGCCAGGGCCGCCAGCCCCAGGTGGGCCGTGACCGCCATCGTGTGCTCGCTGCATGGCGGTGCATGGCGGTCAGGCCGCACGCTGAGGCCACTCTCTCGCACCCATGGGGCGTGCCGTTAAGGGCGCGAGGGAGACAGACCGACGAAAGCACTGTTGGCCTGCTAGCCGGCCCTTTCCGCTTAGCCAAGCGGCACCTGCTCGCAGCGCGGCCTATGCGAGCCAGCCCAGGACTACCGGCCAAATCGCGCCTAGAAAGCCTGGCGGAGCGAAAAGAAACAAAACAGGGAAATTGTCTCAGAACGTGCGAGCGGCTTGACGTTGGTTCCACTTTTTTCGGGCGGTGGCGCTGGCGGACGCGCTGTCATCTCGATAAAGACGGCGGTGACGGCGTGAAATGAAAACCGAGTCGACCCCGCGGAGGTCGAGGGCGTGACTGACAGGCATCGAGGAGGAGGCTGCCACTGCTGCTGCCGTGGAGACAAGCTGCTACAGCAGCCACCGTTAAACGCGACGAGCACCCTCGCGGCACCGCCGCCACCACCGCCGTCGAGCCCCTCGCTGGATGTGAGTGGTCGCCCAGACAAAGACGGACTTGCATTGTAAACGAGACTGGACGCAACGCTCGGCGGCTGGAGCGGGCTGGAGTGGATGGACACGCACAGCACAGACTCCAACGAGCACTCCAGAGTGCTTTGCGCTTTGCGCTCGCCAGTTTTTCGAGGCCCTTTCCCGCTTCGCTCTCTCTATCCCTCTCCACGTTTTCCTGTCTCTCTCGCTCGCTCGCTCGCCACCAGCTTTGTGCGCATGAGAGCGGAGTGACGGATTCCATGTCAGCCAATGCGGCACGCTGGGCTGGGCGCGCAGTCCCGCGCGACGCCGTGCAGGCCGTGCTGCTGGAGGGATGATCCACCGCCCTGGACTCTCGGGGATGGACTGGCGGCAAATCGCTGGACAAGCCGTCGCCGTCCTCGCGGCCATGGCGTGGCATGGCGTGGCATGGCGTGGCATGGCCTGCGCGGCGCGTGCCCTGCCCCTCCCGGACCACAGCGAGGGAGGCTGCTATTCGTGCGAGCGAGGGAGACTCAGGTCTCAGGTGCAGTGCTGCGGTGCTGCGGTGCTCGGCGGGCCGCACACGCCCCCACTATTTTTCCAGCAGGCACCCCTTCCCCTGTTGGCCCAGCGGCGGCCCAGCGGCCCAGCCCGGGCCGCGGTCAGGTCGCTTCATCCCCGGGGCTTGGCGGAGGCCTAGGCCTCGGCCTTGGCGTGCCTTGGCGCGCCCGGCGCGGCGTAACTTTAGAAGGGGAGGCGCCCAGCCTCGGCCTCGGCTGGGACAACACAGCGGCCTCTATCTTACACCGCTAAATAAACGGCCACCTCACCGCGGCGGGGAGGGTCTTTATGTTGCCACGCCGGCACCCCGGGCACTACACCCCCGGCACCTG